TGGGAAGGCCTTCATCCAATCAGAAACTAGTGAAGTTGAAGAATTTGAAGATAAACCTCCTTTATTATATCATCTGCTTCCAGCAGTTCATGAGCCTGCAGCAGCATGATGTAATCACATTCACCACCAAGCCTGACAGTTGGTTCAGTGTCCAAACATACTTCTTGTTATCGTGGCCTTATCACTTTATCTTTGTCTCATCTGTGTCTAAAAGTCAGTTGCAAATTTCCGTCCAGCTTGAAGGTGTCACTTCTGAAGAAGAGCTTCTTTCTTGGTCAAAACTGTCTCAGTCCAGGGAGATTTAGAACTGGCTTCACTGTGGACAGACTGCTGGTCCAACAGTTCCCAGTTCATGGTAGGCTTGAGTCTTGGTGGTTCGTTGGTTGACCCTAAATGTCCTAACCAAGTTCCTTTCATTTGAGATGAGAACTGGTCGATTCAGTAAGTTCTGTCAAACAAGTAAAGTTTCAGGCTGGCAAAGAGAATCAACTAACAAGTTGACAGGCCTGACATGTTAAAAGATTTCCTAAAGGGCCGTCCACTGGGAACAGTTTGCGTATTTGCAGTTGTTTTTTTTTTTGTTTGTTTGTTCTTCTGTCTTGTTTCCACATGGAAATGACACTTTAGGAAACCCACTGTAGTGTTTTTTAAATGGGTACTGTAAGGATCTGTGTTTTCTGTTGGTTTATTTTGTGTGTTTATCATTTGAGTTATTCAGTGTCCTGTTCCCCAGTGTTTCTCCTGTTTTCTGCTCCAGTCCCTCCCACACTCACGTGTTCTTGTTTGTCTGCCAGGTGTTTATTATTTCCATTCATTAAGATTTACTTTGTATACTCCCGATGTGTGCTCAATAATACAGGTAGATGAATCTAACCAGGTTGAGTCAGGTCCTCTGGACAGATTCTTCTTTGTTGAAACGTTTCATCTTTTATCCAAAAGACTTCTTCAAATATCTGGTGCCTGTACTCATCCCTTTAGGGTGCATTCACACCAGCCCTGTTGTCCCGAACTCTATCCCGTTTGCCTAGGAAGTCCGGTTCATTTGGGGAGGTGTGAACTCACCATCGAACTCTGTCATGGAACAAAAAGGCGAACTCTGACCCGGGCTAAAACCTAGGTCTCAGTCCGGTAGAAGAAAACTTGAGCGCGGTTCGAGTACAGTGTGAATGTAAACAGAACGGGCACCACTCCGCAAGCAGGAAGAGGACTACAACTCAGGACAAACAAACACGCATTTCTCTTACCTCATATGGAGCTGTCAGCTTGCCTTGTGTGAAAACAACATTCTCCATGGTCTTCTGCCGCATCTTCCACTCATGCTGAGTCCATTGTTGAAAAATGACAAAATATTCAATTCAATTCAATTCAATTTATTTATATAGCGCCAAATCACAACAAAGTTGTCTCAGGGCACTTTACAGGAACATTCACAAACATAAAAGCCAATTAGTAAAGTTCTTTATCTAAGGAAGCAGCAGACAAGTTGAATCTTGGCTTCGTTGCAGTCTCCCGTCCTGATCAAGCACAGTGGCAACAGTGGAAAGAAAAACTCCCTTTTAAAGGAAGAAACCTCCAGCAGAACCAGGCTCAGGACAAGCAGCCATCTGCTTTGACTGGCTGGTTGAGAGGACGGGAAGGAGAGACAGACGAACACAGAATGATAGGTCCAGGTATAAGTCCAGGTGTATCTGAAAGACAAAAAAAAAACCATGTTAAAGATAGAAAAAATAATTACAAATACAAAACAGGTTGAGCAGAGTAAGTAAAGACATTAACAGAGTGAAAAGTGTGGTCAGTTTGTCCTCCAGCAGTCTAAGCCTGTAGCAGCATAACTAAGGGACAGCTCAGAAAACCCAAGCCAACCCTAACTATAGGATTTATCAAAAAGGAAAGTCTTAAGCCTAGTTTTAAAACTGGATCATGTGTCAGCCTCACGGACAGAGATTGGAAGTTGGTTCCACAAGAGAGGAGCCTGATAACTGAAAGATCTGCCTCCCATTCTGTTTTTGTAAATTCTAGGAACCACAAGTAAACCTGCAGCCTGAGAGCGAAGTGCTCTGTTAGGAAAATATGGAACAATAAGATCTGTAATATAAGATGGAGCCAAGTTGTTGAGAGCTTTGTAGGTTAGAAGTAAGATTTTGAATTCTACTCTGGATTTGACAGGGAGCCACTGGAGATGAGCTAAAACTGGAGAAATATGATCTCTCCCACTAACTCCAGTTAAGACTCTGGCAGCAGCTTTTTGAATCAACTGAAGACGTTTTAAAGAAGTATTTGGACACCCAGAAAATAAACCGTTGCAATAGTCCAGTCTAGATGTGACAAATGCATGGACCAGTTTTTCTGCATAATTTTTAGACAAGATGTTTCTAATTTTAGCGATATTATGCAGGATAGAAATCCTAAACAGTGTTTCCCCTAGTTAACTCATCTCATCCATGATTTTTGTTGATGGGGGGACGGACACATGTCTGAGCGCAGCAGTTTTTAAGTGGAGGCGGAGGGGGGGGTGCGTTCAGCTTGAGGGGAGAGACAACGTGAGTGCTGCCTTTAGCTTTTTAGCTAGAGAGCCTGTATTTCGTGCTGCTAGCTTAGTGCTATGTCAGTGCCAGGTGGGCAGGGCAAGTTCGGTTTCATAGGCGGGGTGCTCAGTTCTGTTGATGGGGTGTGGCACCCCACTTGTATATTGGTAGGGGAAACACTGCTAAAACCGCTAAAGTTTGACGCCACTCCATTTTTGTTTTTATTTCCAGAAGAAGAAGAAGAAGTGTCTTCTTCAGAGGTTTTTGTGTCGTTTCTTTCAGTAGTTCTTGATGCAGCGCCACCCCAGGCGAGTGGGGGAATAGGTTGGTTCAACAGGTTGACTTGACTGCACAGTGCAGTGTGAATGCAAATGCAACAGCTCAAATGTAAACAAAATGTTATGAATATTGGTCCCCAACCGAACCGAGTCTACCGGACTATCAAGTGTGAAAACAACCTTAATTGGCAGCTCAGAACATCATGTACAGAACATCATGGACTTTGTGGATAAGGTGAGGAATGTCATCATGGAGACTGATGAAACAATGATCTCTTTTGATGTCACATCACTCTTTACGTGCATTCCTGTTGATGATGCAGTAGAGGTGGTCAGTTTAAGATTAAAATCAGACACCACTCTGAGCAGCAGGACCACACTTTCCACAGAACAACTGTGTCAACTCTTGAAACTGTGCCTGCAGTCAACCTACTTCACATATGGGGAGCAATATTATAGGCAGAAACATGGGTGTGCTATGGGGTCTCCAGTTTCTCCTATTGTTGCCAACCTGTACATGGAGGAGGTAGAAAAGAGAGCCTTGACGTCCTTTTCAGGGACACCACCAAGTCATTGGTTCATGTATGTTGATGACACCTGGGTTAAAATTAAATCTCAGGAAGTCCAACATTTTACTGACCACATCAACTCTGTGGATAAATACATCAAGTTCACACGAGAAGATGTAAAAAATGGCAAGTTGGCTTTCTTGGACTGTGAGGCCTCAGTCTCTGATAGAGGACATTTGCAAACTGAGGTGTTCTGCAAATCCACCCACACAGACCAGTATTTGCAGTTTGACTCCCATCACCCTTTGGAGCACAAGTTAGGAGTCATCAGGACTCTGTATCACAGAGCAGACAGTGTCCCCACTAACTCAGGAGCCAGGCAGAAGGAGAAATCCTACACAAGACAGTCTCTAGAGCAATGTGGATATCCTAACTGGGCCTTCCTGAAAGCAGAGAAGAAACCCAAACAGGACTCCAGTCAGCCATCAGGTGAAAAGGAGGAACCCAGACCCAGACCAGTGGTCATTCCATATGTTGAGGGAGTATCAGAGAAACTGAGACGTTTATTTTCTAAACACAACGTCCCAGTGGCTTTTAAACCCCAAAATACATTACGGCAAAGACTGGTTCATCCCAAAGATCCAGTCCCACGGCACAAACAGAGTAATATTGTGTATGCTGTTCAGGTTCAGGAGAGTGATCAGTCTTACATCGGGGAAACAAAACAGCCACTGGCCAAAAGGATGGCCCAGCACAGAAGATCAACATCATCAGGCCAGGACTCTGAGGTCTACACTCATCTCCAGGCCAGCGGTCACTCTTTCAGGGATGAAGATGTGCACATCCTGGACAGAGAGGAACAATGGTTTGAGAGAGGAGTAAAGGAGGCCATCTTTGTGAAAAGAAATTGTCCATCGTTAAACAGGGGTGGAGACCTACGTGTTCAACTGTCCCCCTCTTACAATGCTGTGATTGCTAGTATCACTCAGCCCTCTGTGAACAGTAAACAGCCATCAGTGTGCTAATGATCCATTGTTAGGCTGATGGTCCTTCTTGAGCATGTGATCAGCTGGTTTTGGTTGTCAGCAGCAAAACTGGTTGATCCACTCTGAGAAGGTGCTATTTAAGAGACTGAGCTGAAAACAGCACCTCAGACTGAGAAAGTCTCTCGAATGAGAGACGAAACGTTTCTACATTTTTCTGTTGTTTTGCTTTGTTTTGTTTTTTTGAATGTCCAGAGGACCAGATTTAACTTTTTTGGATGTTCAGTTTTATATTTGCGAGGTTCTCGTGATTTTTCTGCAATCTTGGATTTCGAATCAACACATCAATGAGAGGTACATGAGTGAAAACATTTTGAAACACCACCCTTGCATTTTCATGAAGACCGACAAAACTCAGTCCTTTAAAAACAATGATGTCATAGCTCCGTCTTTAAGCAACGATCCAGTTGCATCTTCTTTTCGTGTGTGTTTGAGTACATTGGGTAGCTGCAAATTTTAAACACTTGTTGTCTCCACACCTTATTTCCTGTTTTCAAGCATTTATGTTGCAGACTTGAACCACATACTGCCATCACACTTTGACATCTTTTCACTTTCTTGTGACCCGATGGGTTGATGACAGACTAGCTAAACAAAAATTAACACAGACTGTGTATGTGTCGTCATCTTTTCTTCTTCAACCAGGACAGGAACGCTATGGAAATATGACCCGTGTGTACTACAGAGAGGCAGTGGGAGCGCTCGTTGTCTTTGACATGACAAGGTTGTCCACATTTCAGGCTGTCCTAAAGTGGAAACGGGACCTGGACTCCAAAGTAAGTGTCATGGAAAATGAGCAAAATTAAGCACATTTTTTTAATATACCTTCAATATTATGTTGTTAAAATCAATCTAATTGTTTCATGAAACAAAACCTTCCTTGTATCAGCTAGTAAAGTAAAGGTATTTAAACTTTTTTAACAGACACCAAGTAGATAGACAGGCTGGCAAACATCACAGTTACTGCCATAAGGTTAATTTAACAGCTCTGCTCCAACAAGTCAAACCTTTTTATTGCTGCCACGAGGAAGCTGTCCTCAAATGATGAAGTTTAAACAGAATCAACAAACTAAGAGAAGTTTTCTACAGAGTGAAGAAACCTTTTGATCGTGGCTGGTCAGTTATATCTGCAGTAACTCTTTGTGACCACTTGGGGGCGACATGAACTCTCCTGATGGCTTGCTAGAATAAAGTTGTTTTTTTTAGACATTTGACATGTAAACAACTTGTTTTTTTAACATGTTTCAGGCCAGACTTCAGTATTATAAATTTTAGTTTTGGTCACTCGCTCCTGTTATAATTTCCACTATGTCCACCAGATATAAATAAACTTTTATTCTTGGGTTCATTGTGGGTCTTTTCTGAACACAACAGTGAGCATGACCTAAATCAGTAAATTTACTGACCAGACAGCCTTACTATGAGCTAAAGAATAATGTGCCTCTTATCTAGAGATTCAGCTCTTAAGCTAGTATCTGTAAAATAGTTTATGAGGAACTGTCCGGAATGTTTTTTTGGTGTTTTTGGACTTTATCAGTTCACTTGTGTGAGTTCTAGAGGTTTGTAGTTCTGTTGTTTGAGTGTTGAACAAGTTCAAAAACATGTCTGACACATTTTCTCCTAAAATAGTCAGAATCATTGGTGGCATCTCAAACTCATTCTGGTCTCCTGCTTACAAACACTGAATTCAGTGAAACTAACAGAAATGATCTCTTTTTGTCACAGATAAAAACTACCAGAGCAGTGGAGACAGGGTTTAACTTGGCAAAATAAATGTTTTGTTTTCTGTTTTGTCAGGTCACACTGAGTGACGGGACGCCGGTTCCAGCCGTTCTCCTGGCCAACAAATGTGACCATCAAAGTCACGGTTTGTGCCCGAAACTTCCAAAACTGGACAACTTTGCCCGAGAGCAAGGCTTCATCGGCTGGTATGAAACTTCGGCCAAGGCAAGATGCAGCTTTCTACTGGTTTCTAAACTGGTGTTTATTTATACTGTAGAAGTCAGAAAATCAAATAGGTTTTTTTCCTGTTTGCCAACATTATCAGCACTTTCATGTGGCACTTTTCAGATCTATTGTCCAAATTCAAGGATTCAAGGTTCATTGTCATCCACATCACAAGTGGTACATGTGGTGGAACGAAATTGTGTACACAGGGTCCCAGTTACATCCAACAAAAATATTAAAATGTAAAGGAAAAACAGTCATAACATCTAAGATATGAACTAAGAAAAACAAGCTAAAATTACACTAAACACGAGTAGCATAAAAAAAAAATACGCTGAACAGCAGCACGAACATGAGTCTGTGTGAGCAGATGAGTATGAATGAACACATCAACATGAAACAGATCAGCAGCAACATGAAACAGATCAGCAGCAACATGATGTGATTTTTCAGTGATTATCCTGGTTAGAGATTCATGAGTATAACAGCCTCAGGGTAGAAGCTGTTCCTCAGTCTAGTGGTTCTACACTTAATGCTCCTCAACCTCCTTCCTGAGGGGAGCGGGGCAAAAAGTGTGTGTGCTGGGTGAGAGGGGTCCTTCATGATGCAGGTGGCTCTCTTCCTGCATCTGGAGGTGTAGATGTCTGTAATGGTGGGGAGGCTGACTCCAACAGTCTTCTGTGCAGCCTTCACCACTCTCTGCAAAGCTTTTCTTTCTGCAGCTGTGCAGCCTCCATGCCACACGTTGATGCTGGAGCACAGGATGCTCTCCACTGCACACCTGTAGAAGGAGGTGAGGACTGAGCTTCCCAGACCAGCTCGTCTCAGCCGCCTGAGGAAGTAGAGTCTCTGATGAGCTTTCTTGATCAGGCTGGTGGTGTTGTTGCTCCAGCTGAGGTTGTCATTCAGTTGCACACCCAAGTTCTTGTAGCTGGAGACCACTTCCACCGCAGATCTTCCTTTGTTGGGGGGTGGGGGGTGGTATGTGTGTTTGTTCCTTCTTAAGTCCATGACCATCTCCTTCGTCTTCTTCACATTGATGTGAAGGTTGTTCTTCTTGCACCAACTCTCCAGGTGTAGCTGGACTCATCATTGTTTGTGATGCATCCCACCACCGCTGTATCCACTGCAAACTTTACAATATGACAGCCTGGATGGTTAGATGGCGTGCAGTCATACGTGAGCAGAGTGAACAGGAGAGGGCTCAGCACACATCCCTGAGGAGAGCCAGTGCTGAGGGTTATGGTGGAGGAGGAGAAGTTGTGGATCCTCACAGACTGAGGTCTGCTAAGAAATCTAGGACCCAGTTTTAATTGTGGGGCTTAGTCCTAGTGTAAGTAGTTTGCCCATCAGGGTTTGGGGGATCATGGTGTTGAAGGCAGATGTGAAGTCCACAAAGAGCATATGGACATAAGAGTCTTTCTGCTCCAGGTGGGTGAGAGTAGTGTGGACCACAGAGGAGATGGCATCCTCTGTTGATCGATTCTCATAGTATACGTATTGGCGAGGGTCCTCGTTGATGTTGATGGTTGTTTTGATGTGGGTCATGACCAGTTTTTCGAAGCATGTAGCGACTATCGGGGTGACAGTGGCTATCGGGGTATATATATATATATATATATATATATATATATATATATATATATATATATATGTATGTGTGTGTTAGGGCTTTAACAGACTACTCGAGTAATCTACACATCGATTCCTAGGACACCTATCGAGGTTTTTAATTTCATGTCGAGTATTCGTTGTGACGTCATTACGCCACCGTTACGTCATCGCGTCACGTGTCACGTGATCCGCACCAGGCGCGGGTTACAAAATGGATTCCTCCAAGCAGACGGATGGAGCAGAGCAGGCCCAGTCTTGGCAAACATGTAGAAATGCATCAATAGTCTGGAAATATTTCACTAAAGATTAATCTTCTGGTTCAACTACCATAAGGAAACAGAAACTGAATCTACTTTCTGACTGTTTGGAGGCGAACCAGTGTTACACCATATATTGTGACCGTAGGGGGCGGTGTTGCATGCACTGTTGCAGGTCACAGAATATTGTGTAACACCAGGTCCAATCGACCGAACCAGAACCAGCTTCCTCTGACCTTGTTTCACAAACAAAAAGCAAAAAATATTAATCGCTAAACCTATAAAAAAATCTATAAACATTTTAACCTCTAAAACTAAACTTAATGTGCACCACAGCTGGTGGTGGTGTGGGGTGGTCGACCCCCCCCACTGTTTTTAGTTTTGTTTTTGACGTGCCACACGTTTCTTCACGTTTGCAGCTTAATAATAAAAACTAAGAGTTTAGTTTTTCCTGTGACTTATTGGCTGTATGATAAATGGTAGGAGCATAATATATGCTCCCAAATTTTTGTTGGTCTTTTTTTGTAAATAATTACCTTTTTTGTGGTTTTTATTTATTTATTTATTTTTGTATCTTTAGATCCTATAGTAGCTATGTTTACATGCACAGAATTCTTTGACCGGATTGAAATGTGCTCTGTTTGAATAATTCAAATGTATTGTTTACATGGGCACAATCTGTTCATGACGAGTGTTTACATGCAGCGGGCTTTGTTCTGAACAGCAGTACTGACATGCGCAGAGTGGTAAACTCTCCTTAAAAAAACCACAGAAGAAGAAGTTCTACTTCCGGGGTGAACGTAAACAAACCTGAGCACCCAAAATGGACCCGCGACAGGTTTTAATGATGGTGGAGACATTATTGCACTCCCTGACTGAGCTACAGGTAATTCAGATCATTTTGAGCTCTTTCAAAGTTTCTAGTAGAAATGTTGTGTCGCTCACCAACCAGTTTTGCTCCCCTGACATGCTAATATTATTAGCATTAGCCAGGCGGAAATGGCAAAGTCGCACATGCGCAGTCAGGTCAGTTTTTCACGATCAGATAAAAACGAACAGATCAAGTGTTTACAAGCGCACCAATCGGGTTAAGGATCGGCGTAAACCACCCGTTTCGTTCTGATCACAAATTATATCGGATCGCGCCGAATACACAAAAAATAACCCGAACGGAGTGTTTACATGACACACTTTTATTCCGACCGGCCATTTGATCCAGTTACTTATGTCCTTGTAAACATAGCCGATGTCATCAAGTACTCGAGTTCTTCTCGAGTTTTATTATGTTAATGTCGAGTTTAAAAAGTATGTAGTGGTTCAACCCCTAATATATATATATATATATATATATATATATATATATATATATATATAAAAATATAGAAATACTTACTACTTGTACTACTAGTTCTACTTTGTGGTTTTTCACTTATCGCGGGTCTTAAGGATACAGATCCCCTGCTATAAACAAGGGACTACTGTATTTCGAAATTTTTTATTTATTTTTTATTTCATTTTTTTAAAAATGTTTTATTCTGTTACTGCTCTCAGGGATTCATCCCAACCCTGGACCCCCCACTAATTACAGCACACCAAATGACTTTAAAAACGTGTCTGGACTTCATTTTCTGCATGTAAATGCACGTAGCCTTCTGAGAAAACTTGATGCCTTGAAAATTCTGATCAGTTCTTCTGGGGCAGATGTTATCTTCATCTCTGAAACCTGGCTCAACAAATCTGTACTCAATAATGACCTGGCAATCAATGGATTTAACATCTACCGCTGTGATCGTCAAAAAAAGGGGGGGGGGTAGGGGGTGGAGTCGCTATTTACATCAGAGATTCTCTGGTTTCTAGTCGTGTGTCTGCTAAAACAATTCCAAGCCAGTTTGATGCCTTAGCTGTAAACATCACTTTGAATGGAGGCCAGCTTTTATCTGTAGTGGGTTGTTATCGTCCCCCCTCAGCAACACCTGAGGCTCTGTCCTCCCTGATGGAATTCTTTGGAATTTTAAAATTCAAAGAGATTTTTTTTTAGCAGGAGATTTCAACATTGACTGGGATAAATCGACCCCCCTCTGTGATAAATTCAAGGAATGTTGCCTGTCACTTAATCTGACCCAACTCATTGACTCTCCCACTAGACCAAACAAAAAAACTTCCTGAAAAATCCTCCATCTTAGACCTGTTTCTAACTAATATGCCTCACAAATTCCCTAGTACAGGTGTATTCGCAAATATTTTGAGTGATCACTGTGCGACAGCGACTCTGAGAGATAATAAACTTCCACCTTCTAAGCCCAGATTAATTCAAAAAAGGAATCTGAAACGTTTTTGTGAACAGTCGTTCCTCTGGGATTTATCCCACTTTGACTGGCATCGTATTCTATTAATTGATGACGTGAACTCCGCTTGGAACTATTTTCATAATAGTTTAATTTATTTTGTGAACAAACATGCTCCTTTTCATCAGTTCAGAATAAAGAGATGAGACAGCCCCTGATTTACTCCAGAGCTAGCTGACCTCCTGCACAGGAGAGATCATCTTTGGGCCACATCGAGAAAATCTGACTCAGACACTGATTGGTTGAGTTTTCGACAGATGAGGAATAAATGCACAACTGCTGTCAAAGCAGCAAAACACAACTATTTCTTATTTCAGACCTCCAAAAATCTAATTGACCCTAACAGATTCTGGAAAACCATCAAATCTCACTCAGGCACCCCCCAATCATCTGACCTCCCATCACAACTTCTCGTTAACTCTGTTCCTGTGTCAAATAAGCACGAAAACCTGAACTGTTTCAACAAACATTTTGTTGCTTCTAGTTCTTTATTTGACACAGTTACTAATGGAAAATCAGCCACTTCACTTAATAATCAAACTTGTACAAATCAAATCCCTCCTACAAGTCAATCCTCAATTAATCACACCTTCTCTTTTTCTCTGTTCTCAGTTAGTGAGGTCAGTAAACTGTTAAAAGATCTTGATCCTAAAAAATCTGCAGGTCCAGATGAACTTCCACCTTATTCCTTAAGGCTGGCTGCTCATATCATCACAGTCCCTGTGACCCACATCTTCAATCTCCCCATAAACCAAAACTCCATTCCAGACACTTGGAAAACAGCCTTTGTTCTTCCTTTACTGAAGGGAGGAGACCCCACCTCACTGAACAACTATCGACCAATCTCTAAACTCTGCATTTTAGCCAAGGTTCTAGAAAAACTGATAAACTCTCAAATCAAAAATTACCTGGACTCATTTAACATCTTACCTCCACATCAATCTGGTTTCAGGAAACAACACAGCACAACAAATGTTTCACTGAAGGTTCTTAATGATGTTGTTGAAGCACTGGATGCTAAGGATTATTGTGCTGCACTTTTCTTAGACCTGTCTAAAGCTTTTGACACTGTGGATCATAACATCTTGTGTCATAAACTCTCAGAAATCAGTTTCTCAGAACACACCACTGGTTGGTTCTCTAACTATCTCTCAGATCGGAGGCAATGTGTTCAACATAATGGTACTTTCTCCAGTTATTTAACAGTCAACATTGGTGTACCACAAGGCTCAGTCTTAGGACCCACCCTCTTTACAATCTACATACATAATGTAGGTAAAAACATCCATGATGCATCCATACATTTCTATGCTGATGGCAGTTGTTTATTGTCAAGCTAAAACAGTTGATAAGGCTTTCCAGCTTTTGAAATCTGCATTCAACAACATCCAGACAGATTTGTTCTGCCTCAAACTTGTCCTAAATGCCGGCAAAACCAAAGGGATGCTTTTTTCAAACAGGAAGTCAGTCCCAGCACTTCTTCCTCTGATTTTATCCTCAAATGATGTCCCTATTGTGTTTGTTGATTCCTATAAATATTTGGGTATCTTGGTTGACTCGCATCTCTCTTTTAAGCTCCATGTGGAAAAACTAGTAAAGATTTAAACAGATCCTGTCTAACCCTGAATGCTAGAAAACGCCTTGTTTCTGTGACTTTCATTCCCTCCATTGATTACGGTGACATTATTTACATGAACGCTCCTACAAGAACCCTGCAGATGTTGGATGCTGTCTATCATGGTGCGCTAAGATTCATAACTGGCTGTGATTATCGTACCCACCACTGCACCCTGTATTCACTGGTTAACTGGACATCATTAACTTCACGCAGACTCTCTCACTGGTACATTTTCATCTTTAAATCACTTCTTGGTCTGCTGCCTTCATACATCTCCTCCTACATGTCTCTGTGTGAGTGCAGCTACAGCGTGCGCTCTCAGGACATTATTACCCGCATTGTTCCCTCAGTGAGGACTGAACTAGGCAAGAGGGCCTTCTCCTACTCCGCTCCTGTTTCCTGGAATATCTTGTAAAAATATGTGAAGCTCTCGACCTTGACCTCTCTAAGTGGCTTTAAGAATTTGTTGGACTCATGGCAGGGACCAACGCAGACATGTTCCTGTTTTTAGTTTTCTACATTCGCCTTATAATCTAGCTGTTTTTACTACTTTTTTGCCATCTTATTTGTAAAAAAAAAAGTATGCCTTTTTATGGCTGTCTGTTGTTGTTGCTGTTGTCCATTGTTTTCATCGTTCTTTGTTGAAATCAGGTCTCTCTTGTAAATGAGTCCTCGAGGCTCAATGGGATTTACCTGTAAAGTTGAATGAATTCAAAGTAATGTGGTGATTGAAGAGTGGTGAGATGGCACCCTCTATTGGCCAGCCATCCCTACCCCCTCCTACAACAAGATAAGATAGAACTTTATTGATCTTGCAGGAAATTGTTGTGCCAGAGGTTCAATACAAAGGAACATACACAAAGAATCACACAAGATATAAAAAAATAGCAGAAAATATAAAAATACCAACAATTAATATCTAAATTAGGTCAGGTGCAGACAGAGACATTTAAGTGTTTATTGTGGTGCAGGATTAATTTTATTGTCCAATGTGTAGAAAGGGGGAGGAGTTAAAAAGTTTGATAGCCACAGTAGAAAGGACTTCCTGTGTTGTTCTGTGGAGCACCTCGGTGGTCTCAGTCTACGACTGAAGGTGCTGCAGTAAGAGTCCAGTGTTTCATGCGGGGGGTGGGGGGGGGGTGTCTCAGACACCTCTGTCAGAGACTGCAGGTCCACTCCCAGAACAGAGCCAGCTCTCCTGATTCCTGATGAGTTTATGGAGTCTGTTGGCATCAGCTTTCTTCACCCTGCTGCCCCAGCACACCACAGAGTAGAAGAAGACGCTGGAGACCACCGAGTGGTAAAACATCTGCAGCATGGTCCTACAGATGTTAAAGGACCTGAGTCTCCTCAGAAGAAAAAGGCGACTCTGACCTTTCTTGTTGGTGTTACAATGCTGTTATTGCTAGTATCACTCAGCCCTTTGTGAATAGCAAGCGGCCATCAGGGTGCTAACAATCGATTGTTAGGTTGATGATGGTTGTCAGACTGAAGAAGTCTTTTGGATAAAAGACGAAACATTTCAACAAAGAAGAATCCATCCAGAGGAACCGACTCAACCTTGTTAGGCTACAAAATAGTGTTTAATTAATTAATTCGTTGATTAAAGACAAACAAAAGCACATAGTTGCATATATGTACAGCTACTACATATTAGTGAGGAATATCACAGAAAATTTTAAGCATAATCAAGTGTATAACTTTGAACTCTTAACAAGTCTTGACCTGATTTGTCATCGTCAAACTTTTCTGATCGTTGACCTTTATCCTTCCTCTGCAGGACAACACCAACATCGACGCGGCCGTCACGTGCTTGGTGAAAAACATCTTGTCTGCGGAGGAGGACAAGCTCTCGACGGACGCTGCGAGAAGCGAATCAGACGGCAACGTAATAGTTCTTCAACGCTTCGACTACAACATGAAGGAGAAGAGCCTTAACGGCTGCGCAGGATGCTCCACGACTAAACCCAGACACGGAGGAAATGACTGAAACAGCTGGCAGGACCCCCCCCCCCCCCCACCCCCAACTGTGCTTCAAACAATAATGACAAGAACTTTAAATAGTTACTGTGAGGTAACTTGAAGCCCAGCTCCACTTTCTTTATATATTTGACTAATTTATTTCCATTTTGTTCAGTCTCTTAGTAAAGAAACATTTGTAAAGTACAATATAAACATTTACTTTTTAATTTAATCACAAGCATCTTTATAAGAAAAACATGTAATTTCAATAAAAACAGTGAGACAGAAAAGATGTTTACAAACGGACTGATTCAGAATCAGTTTGTCCTTCCCGTTATTTTTGTGGAGTTATGGTTGACCAGTACAATTACGGACGTTTGTCGATGTTTATAATAACGGTGCAACAGAACTGTTGTCGTTTTACATCACAACTTTATTTTGTGTTTACAAGTTGCTGAATATTTTCGTCACTAACCTTTATCAGGTTTCAATTTGTTGAATATATTTTAAAGGTAATGATTAACATTTTGTAGCTGGTTGTTTTATTTGTTCTGTGTAAGTAAAAACCTACCAACTATTCATTTTGCTCTTGCTGATAGTTTTTGTTTAGTTTTAGTTTATTTAAACCAGGGGTGCCCACACTTTTGCGAGCTGAACTAACTGAAATAACTGTCATAAATTCTAGAGAAAATAGTTTCTGGTCAGTTACGTGATCATCTGCAAAGAAATAATCTTGAGTTTCAACCAGGTTTAGAGCTTGGCACTGAATCTGTACTTGTGAAAGTCATTAATGATATTCTCATGGCTTCTGACAATGGACAGGTGTCTATACTGGTCCTGTTAGACCTCAGTGCTGCATTTGATACCGTTGATCACAATATTTTACTACAGAGACTTGAATATGATATTGAAATTACAGGAACAGCCCTAAATTGGTTTAAATCATATTTATCTGATAAGATTCCAGTTTGTAAATGTAAATAATGAATCTTCATCATACACCAAAGTTAGTCATGGAGTTCCTCAAGGTTCATTGCTTGGACCTGTACTCTTTACCTTATATATGTTTCCATTAAGTAAAGTTATTAAACAGCATGGGATAAATTTTCATTGTTATGCTGATGATACAGTTATATTTGTCCATGAAACCCAATGAATCCAATCAGTTACTTAGACTACAAGCATGTCTTAAAGACGTAAAAACCTGGATGACTCTAAATTCTCTGCTTTTGAACTCGGACAAGACTGAGGTTTACCTTAGGAATGAATTTTGTCTTCTAGTCAAGTTCTAGAATTGCGCTGCTCGTGGTTGCTGCTTGTTGGATTAGCTCTGTTACTTTCATTCTGATTTATTGCTTTTGAAAACTTTAAATCCTCCTTTTTCTGGGTGTAAATCGCTTTTTTCAGATGATTGTTTCCTCTGTTATCGGATGCTGTGCAGCTGGAAAGATTTTTACTGAAACCTTTTTACTTTTGGGCATTTGTTATGATGCGTAACCGTGGCAACTAGGGATGGGGCTGATCCGGTATCGGTCTCTGATACCAGCATAATTTACGTATTGGATTTTTTTGATCCAGCCTGCAGAGATTTCCGATCCATGATGCATGTCTGTGTCTGTTGAAACATCTCATGTGATTCCCTGCCAACTGCTCTGCACGTTGGCTTCAAACTATAGAATGGATTACCTGAGCGGAGGCGTGTCTCATGAACCCAGAGTAATAAGACTCGCCTCACATTCAGGAAATCCATTTTATAGTTTGCAACCAGCTACAACGTGAGGACTGAGCACTGACTGAGCAGCATTGTGGCTAACAGCTAACCAACTTTTCATCGTAGCATGTCCGCTGTGTGGAAGTATTGTACATTAGAAACACCACAAAACAAGACAGCAACGTGCAATGTCTGCAGAGCTGCTGTACTGAGAGGAGGAAGCTCGGTCGCGACCTACAATACAACAAACTTAATAAACATTTGAAAAAGCACCACATTAAAGAGCACGAGGAGTGTTTAGCCAGGCACCGCGGTAAAGTTAGTTTTACATTGGACGTTCGAGCTCCATGGCTTCAGCGGTGCCTTTCTCTCATTCAATCTGAAACAGAGAGTCTGATTTCAGTCAGCTGCACTCAGTCTGACTGTCTCAGAGAAGCAGACGGAGCGCAGCTGATTGAAATCAGACTGTCTGCTTCGCAGCTTGACTGAATATTTGCATCCAAGATACAGTTTACATTTACCCTCCAGGAGATATTTATCAGCTCAAGATGAGAGTTTTGTTATGAGTTAAATTCAAAGCAGTCTGCTCAGATAAATAGTCTTAAATTATTATTTTTATATATGAATGTTTCTGTTAACTTATTTTAATGTTTCTGTTCAGTGCCCTGAAATGACTTCTGTTGTGACTTGGTGCTATATAAATAAACTGAACTGAAC